AATTGATAATAGTTTGTGAATTTTGCCACCTATTTCTCTAGAAAATATACAATGCAAATAGTCTCAAAATGCAATGGTAATGGAATTTGACTGTTATTTATCTATAGTATAAATTCTTTTATTCTTTTAGATCTTGGAGATGCCTCACCCTCCTGAGTAGCTGGGACTATAGGTGCATGCCACCATGCCTGGCTCATGTTTTTTGTATTTTTTGGAAGAGATGGTGTTTTGCAGGTCTTTGAAAAATAACCAGTTGACATAAGTAGGCTGAAGAGTCCTATTCTTTTTTTTTTTTTAGAGACTGGGTCTTGCTATGTTGCCCAGGCTGGAATGCAGTGGCTATTCACAGGTGCGATCCCACTACTGATCAGCACCAGAGTTTTGACCTGCTCCATTTCTGGCCTGGGCCAGTTCACCCCTCCTTAGGCAACCTGGTGGTCCCCCACTCCTGGGAGGTCACCATATTGATGCCGAACTTAGTGCAGACACCTGATTGGCTTAGCATGCTACAGCCCAGAACTCCTGGGCTCAAGTGATCCTCCTGCCTCAGCCTCCTGAGTAGCTGGGACTACAGGCATGTGCCACCTTGCCTGGCTAGTCATGTTCTCTTAAAATTTAGACATGGGATTTGGGAGTCTCTCCATTCCAGGACTGTGTATCTGTGGGGCCACTAGGCTGGCTCCTTTAATATAACATTGTTACCATCAAACCATCGGCCAATTCTGTGGTCAGGCAGCTGGACCAACTATACAGTTAGTTCAACTGGTGGGCTATTTGGTCAAAAGGTCAAATTATGTTGCATAGATAACAGTAAATATTTGGATGCATAATCTCCATTATCAGATAATCTGATGTTCCTGGGTAACATAGACACATAAGATCTGATAGCTTAGAAGTCAGAAAAGTAGCTGTTTGTCTAATTCCATAGCATTTACAAACGGCTGTCATTTCTGATAACTTGAATTCCTGTTACACGATCCAGAAAACACCAAATTAGCTATTAATCCAGAGGTTCTTTAATCTCATAGGCATTAAAGGATTTATGGGGCACAGGTTACTTGGACATCATTCTTTCTTTTTTTGAGACAGAGTCTTGCTCTGTCTTCCAGACTGGAGTGCAGTGGTGCATTCATAGCTTACCATGGGATTACAGGTGTGAGCCACTATGCCTGACCTATTATTTTCTATCTTAAAGAAAAAAATTGTCTGGGTGTGGTGGCTCATGCCTATAATCCCAGCACTTTGGGAGGCTGACGCAGGCAGATCATGATGTTAGGAGATTGAGATCAACCTGGCTAATGCGGTGAAACCCCATCTCTACTAAAAATACAAAAAATTAGCCAGGCATGGTGGCAGGTGCTTGTATTCCCAGCTACTCAGGAGGCTGAGGCAGGAGAATTGCTTGAGCCCAGGAGGCAGAGGTTGCAGTGAGCCGAGATCTTATCAGTGCACTCCAGCCTGGGTGATAGAGCGAGACTCTGTCTCAAAAAACAAAAAAAACCTGTAACTTCCACTTTGTTGCAGAGCTGAGGCTTGTGCTTCACAATTGATGTTGCTGGATTAATGTACTTGCGTTGGTCTGACACATTCCCAACGGTTGCACTGCTTTTCCTTCTAGGAGGCTGTAAGCGTGTGTAAGGGAGCCATTGTCTATCCTCACCTATCATTAGAACCAGGGTGATAAACCACATATGCAGGGTGAGCAGAATCATGGGCAAACAGCAGATTCAACAGCAGATGTTGGGGGTTCCGCCTGGAGACTAGTGTTCAAGGTCAGACTGAGAATGCTCCGTAAGGTCTGTAGCCAAGATGAAGCTTAGTAGAGGAAGGAAGGGAGATAAGAAGAGACTCAGGCCTAAGAGAAGACAGAGGTCACAGAAAAGAGAGCAGGACTCAGGGATTGAGGCATAGAAGCCCAAAGAATGTGGCCTGGATGTTCACCCTGAGCGAAGAGTTCCCAAGGGCAGGATTGGTTCTAGAGTCAGGGCTAGGCTGAACTAAGAGTGGAGACCTCGTGGCTCCTGTTTCACAGGTCAAAGGGAAACACACAAAGAAAACCAAATTCATCATTACACAGTTGATTCCAAATCAATTGCATTTATTGCATTCTTTATTATACTTTTCTCCTGATCCATCATATTTTCCCTTTTTTTTTTATTTTTATTTGAGATGGAGTCTCACTCTGTCACCCAGACTGGAGGCAGTGACATGATCTCAGCTCACTGCAGCCTTTGCCTCCCGGGTTCAAGCAATTCTCCTGCTTCAGCTTCCCAAGTAGCTGGGAGTATGTGCACGCGCCACCACACTCAGCTAATTTTTTGTATTTTTAGTAGAGATGGGGTTTCACCATGTTAACCAGAATGGTCTTGATCTCCTGATCTCACAATGATTGCCTGCCTTGGCCTCCCAAAGTGCTGGGATTACAGGCATGAGTCACCGCACCTGGCCCATTTTCCCATTTTCTACAAACGCCCTATAATTCTCTCAATTGGCCAAGGGCTGTGTGGTTATTTATTCAAAATATGCACAGAATGTTTATCTCCATGTAGTGAAATGAGCACTTTGGAATGGGAATGGGACCCTGACTTCCGCTCTCACATTCTTCCACTGACCAGCTGAGTGACTTTGTATGGTTTATTCAGCTTTTCAGGGCCTCCTTTATTTTTTAAATCTGCAGCATGAAGACTTGACCTAAATGATCTCTAAGGATCTCATAGGTTTGAATATTTTGTAGTTCTATGGGTATCTATCACCGTGGCCTCTGAACTTCTACAGACCGATGGTCAAACTGAAACTCGACAGTCCCCTTTTTCTTTTTCTTTCTTTTTTCTTTTTTTTTTGAGATGGGGTCTCACTGTCACCCAGACTGGAGTGCAGTGGCTCAATCTCAGCTCACTGCAGCCTCCACCTCCTGGGTTCAAGCAGTTCTCATGCCTCAGCCTCACGAGTAGCTGGGACTGCAGACATGTGCCACCACACCTGGCTAATTTTGTATTTTTAGTAGAGATGGGGTTTCACCATGTTGCCCAGGCTGGTCTCAAACTCATGATCTCAAGCAATCTATCTGCCTCGGCCTCCCAAAGTGCTGGGATTACAGACATGAGCCACCACACCTGGCCTATAGTTTGCCTTTCATTCTTGTTGAGTGAACACCCCTGCATGACTGCAAGAGGCTTAGCCGAGATTTTTGGAGCCCAGTGGCTTGCCAGGGGCAGAACACTGGGGGCACTGTTCCCTGGGTGCAAGCAGTAAGGGGTGCCTTATTTATAGGGAAGGCAAAAACAATAAAAGCAAGCAACTTAAAGTCAGTAAGCCTTTGTTTTTGCTTTTTTTTTTTTTTTTTTTTTTGAGACAGAGTCTCACTCTTGATGCCCAGGCTAGAGTACAATGGCAAGATCTTGGCTCACTGCAAACTCTGTCTCTCAGGTTCAAGCGATTCTGCTTCCTCAGCTACCTGAGTAGTTGGGATTACAGGCACCTGCCACCACACCCAGCTAATTTTTGTATTTTTGTATTTTTAGTAGAGACGGGGTTTCACCATGTTGACCAAGGTGGTCTCGAACTCCTGACCTCAGGTGATCCGCCCGCCTCAGCCTCCCAAAGTGCTGGATTACAGGCGTGAGCCACCGCGCCTGGCCCATCAGTCAGCTTTTTATTATCACTCTTTGCCCGTAACTCTCAACAATGTTGATGATAAAATACTCCTTCCCCAAAGATATTTTGTTGGTGAAATTTTAAATCATTGCTACAATTACAGTTGAGTTTTAATAATTTAGATGTAAGTTTCAGATTCGTATACATTTAACACTTACTCTTTAATAATAAACATTGTATTCTACTGAGACATCGCCAGCCTCTGACATATGTAATCTCTACTTTATCATTTGTTTTGAGAGAAAGTTCATCGTGGTTCAGAATCTTAGCTGGGCACAGTGGCCCACACCTATGATCACAGCACTTTGGGAGGCCTAGGTGGGAGGACTGCTTGAGGCCAGGAGTTCAAGACCAGCCTGGGCAACATAGCAAGACCCCATCTCTTTCTTAAAACATTAGCTCAGCATGGTCTCACATACCTGTAGGCCTAGCTACTCAGGAGACTGAGGCAGGAGAATCACTTGATCCCAGGAGTTCAAGACTGCAGTGAGCTAGGATCATGCTATTGCACTCCAGCCCGGGTGATAGAGTGAGATTCTGTTTCTAACCATAAACCAAATCTTTTGCATGCACTTTCAGCACAGTTTGTGTCTCCAAACCCTGTGGAACTACATGTTTCTGTTTAAACAGTAGAATGAAAATGAACAATGATAACACAGAGATTGCAAAGTAAAGAACCAGCCTTGAATGGCTTCGGTTCTGTTTTATGTGACCCCTTGGAGACTGTGAGACACTGAACTACAGGCAATAATATTTTTGTTTTCTAAGGGCAAACTTCAGCTCATATATGAACTATTTTGCTGAATTTAATAATATCTTTGGAGCCAAAATATATTCCTTTTTAATTATTGTTTTAAAACTAAGGAGTCAAAAAATGATTATTACATGACTTTTACTGAAAACAATGTTGACATATGAGGAGGGGAGAATTAAAAAGTTATCTTCTCTGGAGTTATATAAAAGTGACTGGGGCTGGCCATGGTGGTTCATGCCCAAGTAATCCCAGCACTTTGGGAGGCCAAGGCAGGTGGCTCACCTGAGGTCAGGAGTTCGAGACCAGCCTGGCCAACATGGTGAGACCCTGTCTCCATGTCTCTACTAAAAATACAAAAATGAGTTGGGTGTGGCAGTGGACATCTGTAATCTCAGCTACTTGAGAGACTGAGGCAAGAGAACCACTTGAACCTGGGAGGTGGGGGTTGTAGTGAGCTGAGATCACACCACTAAACTCCAGCCTTGGCAACAGAGTGAGAATCTGTCTCAAAAAAAGAAAAAAAGTTATTGGCCTCAAATATTCTGAGGATGCTGTTACTCTAGCCCATTTCTCCCTCCTTGCGTTTGTGCAGTTACTGCCCAACACCCTCCCAAGAACAAGCGTCCGAAAGAACCAGGGGAGAACAGAATCAAACCCACCAACAAGAAGGTGAAGCCAAAAATTCCTAAAATAAAGGACAGGGACTCCGCGGATTCAACACCAAAGACACAATCTATCATGATGCAAGTGCTGGATAAAGGTCGCTTCCAGAAACCTGCCGCTACCCTGAGTCTGCTGGCGGGACAAACTGTCGAGCTTCGATGTAAAGGGAGTAAAATTGGATGGAGCTACCCTGCGTATCTTGACACCTTTAAGGACTCTCGCCTCAGGTAAGCGTTTTTTTGTTTTTTGTTTTTTTTCAAACTGTGTAGGGTTGAGGATTTGTAATAGTTAGCGAAAACCCTTATTAACTATTATTTTTGTTTTATTTTATTTTTTTGAGACACAGTTTGGCTCTTGTTACCCAGGCTAGTGTGCAATGGTGCAATCTCAGTTCACCATAACCTCCGCCTACCAGGTCCAGGTAATTCTCCTGCCTCAGCCTCCCAAGTAGCTGGGATTACAGGCATGCATCACCACACCTGGCTAAGTTTGTATTTTTAGGAGAGACGGGGTTTCTCCATGTTGGTCAGCTTGGTCTCAAACTCCCGACCTCAGGTGATCTCCCGCCTCAGCCTCCCAGAGTGCTAGGATTACAGGCGTGAGCCACCATGACTGGAGTTAACTATTATTACACATTGTTTCTGACATGTACCATTTTACCCTCATAGATTATAAACATAGAAGCTCAAAGAGCAAAAGTCATAGATTTTATTTCTTTACCCAGTTAAAAAAAAAAATTGCAAATCCTACCAACATTGGTTGAAAGAGTGAAATTTTATAAGAAACCATATGACAAAACCATATGACGATTTTAAATGTATGATGAGTAAAATTTTATAGGAAGCCAAAATTTTATAGAAAACTATTATGCGTAGAGATAGATGTTTAAAAATTCATATTGTGTGGCCAGGTGCAGTGGCTCATGCCTGTAATCCTAGCACTTTGGGAGGCCAAAGCAGGCAGATTATTTGAGGCCAGGAGTTCAAGACTAGCCTTGCCAACATGGTGAAACCCCATCTCTACAAGAAATACAAATTAGCCAGATGTGGCAGCACACGCTTTTAATCAGCTACTCGGGAGGCTGAGGCAGGAGAGTCGCTTAAACCCGGGAGGCGGAAGTTACAGTGAGCCAAGATTGCACCACTGCACTCCAGCCTGAGTCGGCTCCACTCCAGAGCGAGTCTCTGTCTCAAAAAAAAAAAAAAAAAAAAATTGTGAAAATTAATGGACTCAATGTTTTATGTTGTTTAAGTAATCATAATGAAAACTGAAATGACCTAACAGGAGATTTCTGTGAGCAACTTGACCAGATTATCAACTTCAACTACTTTTCAACTGCTTCTGATTATTTTTACCTTCATAAATCTATGATTATTGTATTCAGAGGCCTCAGCTGGTAAGACCACCAATGATTTCTCATGTTTGAATGAGTACCTTCAGGAGGCTGGGCTTCTGGACCAGGAAGTGTGGTTAAGTTGGTGAAAACAGCAAGTGTGAGAAGCAAGAAAGAAACACGTACTTCCCAGGGAGCTGGGAGGAACCTGAGCACAGGCTGTGACTGGGGGGGCGCGTATTGGTTTAGAGTCCTGTGCACCTTGGCAAAGTCTCCTAAACTCCTCTGGGTGTCAGTTTTCTTATGTGTAGAATGAAGGGTAGGGGATGAAATCATCTCTAAGATTCATTCCAACCCTATTTCCGTATACGATGGAGAAATACAGTGGATTAACAGTGAAGAAATATCAGATGTTATCTGAAATGACTACAATGGGAAAAAGAAAGGCTGCAGGCTAGGTGCAGTGGCTGATGTCTCTAATCCCAGCACTCTGGGAGGCCAGGGTGGGCAGATCAAGAGATCGAGACTATCCTGGCCAACATAGTGAAACCCCATCTTTACTAAAAGTAGAAAAATTAGCTGGGCATGGTGGCAGCTACCTGAAGTCCCAGCCACTTAGGAGGCTGAGGTGGGAGAATTTCTTGAACCTGGGAGGCAGAGGTTGCAGTGAGCCGACATCATGCCACTGCACTCTAGCCTGGCAACAGAGCAAGCCTCAGTCTCAAAAAAAAAAAGCGGTGTGGGGGCTACAGAGGGCAGGTATTGCAGAATCTGCACATTCACAACAGATTCATATTTCCACACAAACTCTTTCTGCAGAAATTCATCTCCCCCAAGGACGTCATTACCCACTTGTTTACCCAACCAGAAGACAGGGGAGCATCCGTGCCTCCTCCCTCTCTCCTGCGTTCTCTACATCCAGTCAGTCACCAAATTAAGCCAATTCAGGCTTCACTTTTACATTTCAAAATTCTGTTAGTTTGGTGCAAAAGTAATTGTGGCTTTTGCCATTGAAGTAATGATGAAAAACTGCTATTAGTTTTGCACCAGCCCAATATATAACTCTATTCCCTCTTCATAGAAATTGAACCTTCTTCCGGGTATGGAAATCTGTCTACTTTCCATTCCTGGAGTCACTGTCTCCTGTCTCAACTGCTGCTCTTTCCTGTCTCTGATACTGCAGTCACCATGCCTAGGCTAGGGCTTCTCACTGCAGCTAGAGCAACACTTAAACGTCAGAGTGGCCCAGGCGCCATGGCTCACGCCTGTAATTCCAGCACTTTGGGATGCCAAGGCGGGCAGATCATGAGGTCAAGTGATCAAGACCGTCCTGGCTAACATGGTAAAACCCTGTCTCTACCAAAAATACAAAAAAATTAGCTGGGCATGGTGGTGCGTGCCTGTAGTCCCAGCTACTCCAGAGGCTGAGGCAGGAGAATCACTTGAACCTGGGAGGTGGAGGTTGCAGTGAGACCCCATCTCCAAAAAAACTAGAGTGGAGCATGTGGCTCCCTTACTCACCACTCGGTGGGTTCCCTTGGGGATAAAGTCCAACCTCCTGACCTGACAGTGAGGCCCTCCCTGACCTCTGCCATCTCTCTGGAGTCACCTCTCATCTCACAATCAGTCACTCTGCTTTCCCTTCCCGGGGCTCCCGTGAGATTCTCAAAAGCACCAGGTTCCTGAAACCCTAAAGTTTGCTGCTTTCATAGCCAGGATCACTCTTGGACCCCTCATCTCCGGTCTAACCCCAGCCCAGGCATCACTTTGTCTGGGAAACCCGTGGCAGGCCTCCCCAGCTGTGCGTTCCCACAGCACCTGATGCTTCCTCTTCCCAGCTCTCTTCACACTTACTACTTTTATTTTCTGTTAACATCTGTCTTTTTCACTGAGACCTGTAATCCCAACACTTAGGGAGGCTGAGGCGGGTGGATCACGAGGTCAGGGGTTTGAGACCAGTCGGCCAAGGTAGTGAAACCCCATCTCTACTAAAAATACAAAAATTAGCCAGGGGTAGTGGTGAGCACCTGTAGTCCCAGTTACTCAGGAGGCTGAGGCAGAGAATTGCTTGAACTTGGGAGGCAGAGGTTGCAGTGAGCTGAGTGGTTGGCGGTTAGCCTTCTCTATTGAATGCTTGACTGACAAGCGCCCCTGATACATTTGCCCTTCTTAAAAACACCTGCACCCACCCCTACACACACGCCTTGGAGAATAAATAAAATACACATATAAGTAATATTAATCCATCTACTTATGTCTCTTATCCTCCTGTATTAAGACATCTTTCACTTTTTTATTTTGCCTCGACCCTCTAGCGTTGTGAATATAACAGGATAGAGTCCTTCTTAAGGTTCAAGTGGGCTGGATAGGGAGTGGAGAGGGAGAAAGTGAATCCACTCTTCCTGCTTCGTTCTCCACACTTGAAGTGCATGTGTATAATTGAGAATGTATGGGTATTCTGCTTGGAACAAATCTGGAAAGACTTACCACTATATACATTTGTGTGGTAAAAAACACAGTGTAGATTTGCCCTCTTAATAATTTTGAATGCCATGCATGGTGGCTCACACCTGTAATCCCAACACTTAGGGAGGCTGAGGCGGGTGGATCACGAGGTCAGGGGTTTGAGACCAGTCTGGCCAAGATAGTGAAACCCCATCTCTACTAAAAATACAAAAATTAGCCAGGGGTAGTGGTGAGCACCTGTAGTCCCAGTTACTCAGGAGGCTGAGGCAGAGAATTGCTTGAACCTGGGAGGCAGAGGTTGCAGTGAGCTGAGATGGCGCCACTGCACTCCATCCCAAGCAACAGAATGAAATTTCATTTCAAAAAAAAAAAAAACTTTAACCTGACTTCGTGGTGCATGCCTACAGTCCCAACTACTTGGGAGGCTAAGGTGGGAGGATCATCTGAGCCCGGAAGTCAAGGCTGCAGTGAGCCGTGATTACACCACTACACTCCAGCCTGGGCAACAGGAGTGAGAGACTATCTAAAAAAAAAAAAGAAAAAAATAATAATTTTGAAGTGTATGGTATTGTTAACTATAGGTGCACATTGTTGTATAAGAGACCTCTAGAATGTTTTCATCTTGCACGGCTGAAACTCTGTGCCCGCTGAAATCCTCCTCTCCTAGCACTCTTTCCTTGCAGTCACTTTGCTACTGTCTGTTTCTATGAGTTTGCCTACCCTAGGTACCCCATATAAACGGAGCATGCAGTGTATTTGTCTCTTTGTGACTGGCTTATTACTCACAGCATCGTGTCCTCAAAGTTCTTTGATACTGCAGCTAATAATGCAGTTTTCTTTTTGTTTAAGGCTGAGAAATATTGTATGTGTATATACTACCCTTTTTTTTTTTCTTGAGACGGAGTGTTGCTCTGTCACCCAGGTCGGAGTCCAGTGGGGCGATCTCTGCTCACTGCAATTTCTGCCTCCCAGGTTCAAGCGATTCTCCTACCTCGGTCTCCCAAGTAGCTGCGACTACAGGTATATACCACCACACCCGGATAATTTTTGTATCTTTAGTAGAGAAAGAGTTTCACTGTGTTGGCCAGACTGGTCTCAAACTCCTCACCTCAACTGATCTGCCTGCCTCGGCTTCCCGTAAGCGCTGGGATTACTGGTGTGAGCCACCATGCCCGGCCTCTCCTACGTTTGTTTTGTTTGTTTGTTTTTCTGAGACTGAGTTTTGCTCTTGTTGCCCAAGCTGTAGTGCAATGGTACGATCTCTGCTCATTGCAACTTCCACCTCCTGGGTTCAAGCAATTCTTCTGCCTCAGCCTCCTGAGTAACTGGGATTACAAATGCCCACCACCACACCCAGTGAGATTTTTTATATTTTTAGTAAAGGTGGCATTTCACCATGTTGGTCAGGCTAGTCACAAACTCCTGACC